AGGCTTTCCTCACTGCAGGATATAGCAGTAGCTGTGTGTAATGAACGTGGAGAAGAGATGCAGGAGGGTTGGTTATGTCATCTTGCTCTGTCTTTAATCTGAATACCCCAGTTCTTTTGGTCTCTCCTTTCAAGATTTCTGACTGGTTTTGTGGTTTTTCTTCCAACTTTCCCCACCCAGCCCACAGCTCTGGGTGTGCACAGGCTTAGACACAGCATGGAGAAAGAACAACCATGTGTGTCTTCAGGCTGTATTCCTCCCTGAACATCCCATTATGGAGTCTGTTCTTTTGGATTTTGGGGTGAGTTTTTTTGGTAGCATCATGACATTATTCCTGCTCAGTTATGATGGGTTTTCCTCTTCCATAGTGTCCTCTAGGTTCTCCTGGTGTTCCTCTCTATTACCATTTTTGCTAATCTTGATGAACATGGGTAGGTCTAAGCAGGAACTGATTAGACCTAAACACCAGTCCTTTATTCAGTTTGTGGCTGACCACCCTTTGTTCTCCTTATCACACTTTTTGTGATGGTTTAAACAAGGTCTTAAACAGCCATTTGCTAAATTTACTCTCTTCCCTGAGAGTTGCTTGTCCCACATTCCTCCTGGCTGAGGAATGTGTTGTTATGAGCATCCTGCTCCTCCTCCAGCGTAGTGGTTATTGTTGGCTACTTGCACTCCCTCCGTCATTTCAGCAGTGTGTAGTTTTTCATGCCCATTTTGTGGAATTGTTACTAAACTCTGGTAAACAGATTTCTGTGAGAAGTGGCTGCAGTTCAATGGTGGATGAAATAATCTCTTTATAGAAATTTGTTTGTAGACCTCTGGGAAAACTGGCATAATATAATTGTAAGAATATATTTAATATTAAAGTTGTTGTGAATTGTCTTTATTATTATTATTATTCTTTTTTGGTCCTCTGTTTTGTGACAGTGATTGAAGTTCGCCATTTGCAAAATCCACAGATTGGGATGAGGAGAATGTTCAGAATATCAGGAACAAGTTAGAGGGTTCCTGGTTTGGTGCTGTGACTTCTTTCAGCAGTATAACCAGTTGCAGGTTGGCAAGAATTTGTAAAATGCATGTGAAGATCATACTTTGAATCCAGAGAAGGAGTAAAACCCACAGTGGTGAAAACCTCATGGAAATGCAGTGCATTTACATATTCCTTTTCCATTTCTATCAGGGCAAAGACAAAGCAAGTGTGTGTTGGTCGTTTGTCAATAGGACTTTCTGCTGCTCAATACAACTCTAACCCTCATTTTAAAAGATTAAAAATAAGTTTTATGTATTCTTAAAATCCACAGTTTTCCTGGAATAGGAAAATAGATGTTCTGTTGTGAAGCCTTCCTTAAAAATCCTAACTGTAAGATTTGTCGGTATATGTATTTTTCTATTAAAAGAAAATAGATCACTAGCTTGAAAAGCAGTATAAATATAAAGAGAAAATTTGTTAACTGATATGGGAAGAGCTAACCCTGGGTCACCTGCAAATCTCTCAAACAAGAGCTCCAGGGCAAGTCCTAATTCCAGAGAGTAAAAGCGAAAATTAAAGCTAGAGCTGGTGACTCCTCTAAGTTACCCGGGGTGGATTCATTTGAGTTTCCTTGATTGTGCTTGTGAATATAATGTGAAAGGGATGGTAGAGGTCTTCTCAGCCACTTCCCGTCCCAAGCATCTCCATGGAGACAGAAATATAACCCGATGGTCTGTCAGAAGTTGCTTTTCATAACCAGAGGCATTCATTAAATAGTAGATGAAGCAGGAGACAAACTTTTGCATTTTTAACCAAGCTAAAAAAAATAAATGTGCTTTACGGAGTGGTTTATCCAGATATCACTGATATTTCATGACCTGAGAAACAGACTGTTAGTGTGATAGGTTTATTTATCATTTACCCTGCTTCTTCAGGTTATAAGCTATCGCATGCAGTAAGTAAAAACACAGTAAAGACAATACAGGTTGAGAAATACCAAATAGCTGGTCCAGTTCTGCAGATCCACACCATTTTGGTTGCATGTGAAAAGCTCACAGAACCTTCTGAGTTACTGGGCTTTCCAGTGATGAGCAGGGCGGGGGCTCACACATGTTCGTCTGGGGGAGCATTTTGGTGGTGAAAGGACTAAAGTGACTTTTCTGAGGCTAAAATGATGTTTTAATGAGCACATCGAAGCGTTCCTTGGTACTCTTAAAACACGTACTGCACCTTTTTCATCCTTCTTTCAAGCAGGGTGTTCAGTTGTGTCGCTGCTACCATTTCACTAGTTGAAATTCTTCATGGAAGGTATAAAAACAACAGTGCCAGTCTCCTTCGTAAGCCCCAAGTCAGGTAGTGACACACCAAATGCTCAAGCTTTGGAGCTGCAGCCACTGCATTTGGATCCCTCGAGATGAACCTAAACTTCTCATCTCCCAGTAGTGTACGAAAACCAGACGGTTTGTGGAGGAAACGGAGGAGCGTGGGTGAGCAGGAAGATAAAACATTTTACATTGAGTACTTTTAAAACTGTTCTTAATGTGCTATAAAACCGGAGGCTTCCCTTTTTCATGAACTGTGTGCAAAAGGAGGAGCGCTGACTGTAAAGTTGTCGCCAGTTAGGTTTGGTTTATGGTTGCAGAGGCTGCCCAATAATGTGATCTTGGAAAAGGTAAACAACATAGTTTTAACAATGAAAAATATGCCTAATATAAATACTGCTAAGTTCATTGCTGTTCAGAACTTGAAAAATATGAGTGTAACATAGCATTTTCTGGTGGAGTTAACAGAGGAGCACAGTGCAGCCTTACAAGCGATATATCTGAGGCAGAGAAAATAGGTAATACATCTAACTGGGGAGTCTCTGTGGCATTGGCGTAGAGGAAAGCACAGTAGCTTTATTTAATTGAGAAAATGAATCAATTACAATGATGTTGCATCATCAAATGCAGGGGAAATAGCAGATATGTCATTACATCGGGTAACAGTGTTAAAAAGTAATTGAGTGTCTTAAGCATTTTGAATCAATTCCAGGTACTGGCACAGCTACCTTAATGCAAAATTTATGAAGATGATCTCAATATAATATGTCGCCATCAAAATAGTGTAATAAAACCCAGTAACGATGTGTGTGTGAGCGAGCACACGTCCCTCCCTCCCTGCTTCCCTCCCTCCCTTCCTCCCTCCGCAGAAGCCGGGCCTGCTGCTCCGGAGGAGAGTTGCAGCAGCACAGGAAGAATCCTGTCATACTTCCATTTGTGTTGCTGTATTTTTCATTAGAAGCACTGAGCCCTTTGATTAGAAATGATATTTTAAATCTTGTTCTGAAATTGGATGTAGTCATATCCGTGTTGAGGCTACTATAGATGATCCCACCTCTATTCCTCTGCATGACAAGACCTATTTTTCCAGTAAGGAAATGTGACTGGTGCTCTGTTTGGGTGACAAACTGAGTCACCTGCTTGTGTGCACCAATATAAAGAAGCCCCACACCATCCCTTCTGAATAAGCTGACTCTGTTTTGTTATTTAGCATCTGGAAGTGAAGTAGGAAAAAAAACTCTCTCTATATCCACAGCATATTTTGCTGATTAGCAATAATGCGAAGTGGCACATTTATTCCATTGACTTGTAATAGGTTGGCATTGACCATTATAAAAATGGGCTACTTCTATTTATTATTTTCTTTTCTTCCTTGGAAAAAAATAGAATTATCCACAGAAACTTTATGTGTATGTTTGTGCACTGCTAATACAATAATGAAAGACTTCATGTGCATAATACCAGCTATTTTCTTGGTGCTAGTTCTCAACCTCCTCTTACATTACATTTTACTACCTGTAAAGTATCACCAGAGGATCCTGCCTCTGGCTGGGCACTAGGGGGGAGTGCTTCCAGAGCTGATGGCAGCCCAACAACATTCATCATCGTGGCACAATACAGCAGAGAATATTAAACGTAAGGGGCAAGCCAAATAAAGTGTGTTAGAACAGCAGATAACGTTCCCACTAAGGGCCATGTTGGGTCCACATCGCCACTGCATTGGGTTGAGCAACTTTGGGTCTGGTTAGAAAAAATACAGAATTAATTCTCCACACCCGTTAGAAATGGTGCACATGTGAATGAGCAGAACACCAGCATCCCGAAATCCGGTCAGATGTGTTGTATTAACTACCTGCTTTGTATTTAACTGTTTGCATTGTACTTCTGCCTTTGTTCCTTATTCTGGTCACAAGGTGCTTTGCCAATATGGGCCAGAATATTTTATACCTCTCTATAAGCAATCAAGGGGTCTGTTACTCTAAGCTATTAATTATTTCCTAACCAAATCGATGTTAAGAAATTGAAGGAGGGCTCAGAGACAATTGATAACAACCCTTTCCTTTGCCTTTTAAAACCAGACAAAGTTCATCAAACTTTCCAACCTCACAGATGGCAATGCTCTACTTATACTCCAAGTAAAACTGGGTTGGAATATATAAGAAACTTGGGGAAAAGTGGAGTATTAAAGGCTTTGCTGAGCAGCAGTAGATACTTCAACCACATAATTAAAGTTTTCTTCACAAAAAAGGGATTGTGAGCCGAGCCTGGCAGTAATCCAAAATTCTAATTTCTGACTATGATTTAATTTCAATTTTAAATAAATCGGTTTTTAATTTAAAAAGAGTGAGCTTCATAACATTAGCAATGATTGCAACATTAAGCCCAGTGTTCACAATCTAGCAATATAAAACATTATTTATATCTGAATCGTAAACAGCCTTTTGAAATGGATTATGGTTTTTCTTCCTATTCTAATACAACCTGGAGGGTACTAAAAAGTGTTGTGTGAAATTAACATTCTGCTGACTTTCGCCTATAAATGAGAAGCGAGCTATTAACATTTGTGTATTTTCATTATGTAAATTGTGTTAACACATGCCCACAAATTGCCACCAGCGATGCAATAATTTTCTCTCAGTGATCATAATGTGTCCAAGTGAGTCATTTTGATTATGACATGCTAATTACATATTGTCTTTTTTCAGATTCAGAAAAACCAGGGATCTTTAATGGTAAGCTTTATGAGTTCAGAAAAAAATTCACTTTTCTTTTTCCTGATGGCTGCTTCCTCTGCATGCTTGAATGCCTTGTTTTAAACTTAGCAAATTGCATTTTGAAGAAAATGCAAACCTTTAACTGCCTGTATTAGATTAGGTACCATTAGAAATAATAGAACATCCTGAGCATCAATGTTTTTATAAGAGTTTGCTGCTGTTGATTAATCTTGCTATATTTTATTGCATTAATGATTTTTTCTTTCCACTCCACTGTAAAGATATTGCATATAGGCTAATACTTTTTCCCTCTCTTCTTCCCATTGCAGCCTCTCCAGTTATTGCAGTGCATTGTTGATGAGGTGAGTCGTCGTCTTATGTGCTTTCACTCCTAAAGTCATTCCTAATGGAGTGGAAAGCTTATATTTTGTTTCCTAATGAAGCACAATGCCCAACATCCTCAGAGCACAAGTTGCCTTGTGCAGCTTGGAGCTGTCAAACACGAACTGGCCTTGTCCCACTTTATGCTGTTTTTCTACTCTTTATATTGAGTCTTCGAAAGACTTGATTGTCTCAAAGCCTGGTCCTTTTAGCTCTTTAGGCCCTAAAGCCTCAACCTCATCGTGTGAGCTGATCCTCAGCGTTTGCCAGATGAGTTGGAACGGAGATGTTCAAGCGGCGGCACACTTTAGCCCGGGCATATGTAATGCAGTTTAGATGGGCAAAAAGGGTATTTTGACAAGGAGAGAAAACCAGAGTGTAAGCAGGAAAGTGTCCGAATCTTCTCTAATCATTTTTATTTAATTGGAAGGACAAAATAAAAAGCTGAGATGCAGGAGATCCAGGTGTGAACAGGCAACTGAATTTCAGTGGCTAATGTTATATCTCTTGATCGAAACGCTTCTTTTCCTGTCTCCCTTCCCAAACTGAGGTGTAAGCGGGGGTCCCAACTCTTGATGCTGAGGCAGTAGCCAGTGGCAGACTGCTGTCAGTTTGCTTTGGTTTTAATGCTTAATAAGATGGTGATGGCAATTGGGAAGTTTGAACAAGAAAGAAAAAGACATAACTTTGTAAGACTTGCCTCAGCCGCTAGCAGAACGTTAATCCTGGTTTGTCTGGTTGGAGTCACTGGATGTCAGTGTGTCCATTGAGACTGTTCAGCTTCTTCCAACCTGTCCCATGTAACGTGTTTGTTTAGGTTGATGTAAGCTCAGAGCCGGCGTGATGCCCAAGTACTCTCTCTTTGTTGTATTTCCATCTGTAACTGCTACTTGTGTGAACTGCTAAACCCTCTGCTCTTACCTGCAGTGAACACTTTTGTCCTTTTGTTAGAGAATGACTTAGTGGCTTAACTGAACTTATTTTTAAAAGTGACATTTAAGCCTTGAGGGATGCAGTTAAATTAAAAAGAACAAGTATCCTTTGTGTAAAGGAAAGAAGTTCTCCTGGTCCTCCAGCAGTGCTGGCTCTTTTACCTGGCTCTTCATGGTGGTCTGGTTCTTTGGGAGGTTTTTAGGCAATTCTGTTTCTTTCATCTTTTTCATCCATTGTTATTCCTGTTACATACATCTTTGGTTGAGGCATGGATATTCCAAAGCACCAGTGCTGTGTATACCATCAGCAAAAGGCCATCACTATCCTAAAGAAGGTCAGTTAAAGATGCTCATGTTTTTACCAGCGTTTTGCTACTGCTGGGCAAATTACTTTTAAATGGGCTGGTACTAGTGCCTAAATCTAAGCTCACTATTCTAAAACACAGCCCCAAAAAGCTGCAGATTATGGTAGACCTTCTTGCAGCTTCCACATCTTTTCATCAAGATTACGATTGTTCCAGTCTTCTCACAAAATCTTTAACCAACAACTTTTGTGCAGGCTCTAAACATCTGAGTGCTGAGCTAGCTTTAACATTCGCCTTTTGGTATCTACTTGTTGTAACTTACTTCATGTCCCCAGCACACCACAGAGCCATCATTCTCTTGAGGAGGTGGTTCAGAGTGTGCTGTGCTCGTGGGCACATTAAGACTTCAGGTGACAGAGCATAGCTCAGCTGAAAGTTCTTTAAGTGCAACTCGCTTTGTTTTGCAACACACTCAATGTCTAAATGGAAGTTGCATGCCATAACGTTTAGAGCCTGGGGGGAAGAGGAGGATGGATTGGCTCTGTAGTGTTATTTGCTCGTCTGTATTGTTAGGGGGTCATTTAATAAGATATATAGTGTTTAGATAGTAGCTGCCACACCTGGATGTACAAACTCTTGGCATGACAGTGTCTTGGAGAACATTTATATTGAAGGCTTTTCTGTTCTAGCTCATGGGTAGCACTGACTTTAATAGATCCTCCTGCCACCCCCAGCCCTGTCTCGTGTACAAAGGCCTGAAAGAAAATGTGTTTAACTTACGAGTGGGGGTTTTTTAACCTTCTTCACTTTGTCTTCGGTAAGATGTGCCTCCTGGGGAGTAACAGAGGGACCTGCTTATCTGGCTCATATGCACTCTTCCTTCTATGCAAGGACCTTCTGAAAGACAAAGTCTCTTTATTATCTGGTACTGCACAGCTGTTGTTGCTACCATGAGTAATAAGCATTAGAAATGCTCAGTGTTGTAAGACTGCTAATTTTGGGTCAAATTTTCCCCTTGGCTGTAAGGAGGTCCTAAAACTCACAGGAGGTGGGAGCAGAGCCCCTCTCCTGTGCAATAGGAACCCACAGATACTGGTGCACAATTCCCAACCTACTGTAATGATGATCAGAACAGCAAGGAGTGACGATCTATAGCTCGCCTCTTCTTCCAAACAGATAGGGCACAGCAGTGCTCCCATGATGGCACAGCTTCGGGATGAGCCGTAGTGTCATAGGATATGGAGAAGCAGATCTGCAAGGCTGGGGTCGAGCTGCCTCGAGGATCTTTGGTCATCATGTAGGTTCATAGCAATAATCTACTGAAGTTGTTGCATTTGAAAACTCTGGGTCCTCAAGTGCCTTAATATGTCCTTTTGGGTGACAGAGAATGGTTTGGACTTTGGCTCCTAACATTGTGATTAAACAGCTTTGTGGAAGAGAATGTTTCTTGAAATTGGGTGTTTGCTGACAATGTGCTTATCCTGCTCCTTCCCACTGGAGCTGGCTAAAAACTCCAGAGCCTGATACAGGAGAATCTGGAAGTGTTTTAAAATGATGAAACAGAGCCTTTGATTCTTTATAATAGTTGCTTGTTGTATTGGTGGTCGGTTGGGCTTTGTAGGGAAGTTGTAGGGAGACA